TTATTAATAGTAGGTCTAAAACATACCTTTTTTTTTTTTTTGAGAGGTTTTTGCTATAGGGCATGTGTGCTTGCCAGAAAGATAGAGAGAGACAGAGTGACAGAAAGCAAGAAATCACCCCCCAGAGGGGATGGCCACACCGCAATCCCTTTTCCTCCATTTTCCTCTGAGGAGCTTGGGCATGCACACACACGTGCCTGGTGTGTGTTTAAGCCACCGGGTCCGGAACTCGAACTGTGGCCTACTACATGGGAGTCCAGCAACATAGCCATTGCGCCAACTGCTGGTCCCTAAAACATAACTTTTTTATGGTAGGGCATTGAACTGGATATTTTCAGTCTTAGTTTAGTAGGTGTTTGCTGGATTATTTAGACTAGAGAGGCTTGTTGTGTTACTAGTATCACCTATATCTTACTTATTGCCCTTGTAAATTAGCTGAAGGTGATGCTTGCCAGTAGGAAAATGTCAAGTAACATTGGGTCACCATGTTTTCCCTGTTGAGGTAATTAATTTCAGAGATTCACTATGGCCTTTTATGTGGTGTTATCCAGAGTTCATTCAAGTTTGTTCCAGATGTTGAAACTGAAGGCTAAAATCAAAGAGGGTGAAGAGAAAAGACCTGATATCCCCTGGTTAATTTACTTCGTACAAGAAGTCTATACACCTCAGTTCCCCAGGTTATAATTGGAAGACCCAAAGACCAGAAAAGTTAAGCAACTTGCCTAAATTTATATCATGTGTAAGTGGTGAAGTTAGTCATTCTGACCCTAAAATTCCTGGAGCCCCAAAGTCATCATGTGATGATTAAATAGATCTGGTGTATTCCTTTATTATTTTAAAATATATTGAATATTCAGACACATTCATCTGTTGCTGAATGATATTTTATTAGCTTAATAATTTGGGCCTGCCCTTAGCATTAATAAGCTTCAGCACTAGTCACAAGATTTTCATTCACTGGTGGGGAAATTTTCTTATTTTAAAAAACGCAATTAGAGAAAGGGCATCTACTTCTTGGGGGCTGCAGTGACAGCAGGCTTCTCTTCACGGGTGATGGGAATGGTGCGCTCAGGGCCTGGGGCCTGTTTCCTTGGTCCATTCACAGTGAGGACCCCATCAGATGACAGGGATGAAGTAATGGCGAGAGGGTCCACATCAGCTGGAACCCGGTATTTCCTGTGGAACTCCCTGGAGATGAAACCATGTTCATCCTAACCCAAAAGAAAGAAGAGGCAAAGAGATGAGAACAGGAAATAACGCCATTTGCCCCAAACTCAGATATCCCCATTCGCGTTATGTGAGACCAAATGCCATTTCAACTAGAGGGAAAGATAAATATTAAATAGTTGTTCATTTCAGGTTTGGCGCTAAGATGAAGTTGCCTAAGTGGTCACATCTACCAGTGAGAGTCTAAGAAATCTGAAACAGCTCAAAACTTGGTAGTTCTTCAAATCCTGAAGCACAGATATGTTTAGGGTTATTTCCCAAAGGATTAGTTCAATGCTGGCTTGACCTAAAAGATTTTGAAATCTCATCCCGGCATTGAGGATCTCTGTCCCTGAAGAAGCCCCAAAATTGTCCTGACTCTTCAGGAATGTCCCAAAATATTCCAGACCAAAAGGATTGCTCCCAGTGACTACCATCTAAGGAGACTATGACTTGAACTTAAATAATGGGCCCAAAACTCAAACAGCCCAAGGACACTAACTATACTAATTGATGCACAGGTTCTCAGTTAGCATTACTTGGTGAGAAGCAATTTTAAAGTCCTCCAAGAAAGTCCTAAGAAGCTGTTCTACTCATCATCAGAATTCCCCAAACAGTAGCTGACCCTAGCATTATGCCTGCAGGATCTCAAGCGTTTATCTACAGCAGGCTCTCAATTGATTTCCACATGGACTAGAGGAGATTAAGAGCTGAGTATAGCTCTAAAAGGAAGAAAAACCAAGTAGTCCAGCATTAATATGGGCTAAAGAGAAGTGGATTCCTTAACATCTACAAGTCACAAACTCAAGCGCCTTCGGGGTATCTGTAGTTAATGTCATTATATAAAACAACCAGGTATCTGACAACACTGTACCTAAATCAGTGGTCCTCAACCTTGACTGTAGATTAGCATTACCTAGAGAGCGTTTAAAAATGCTGATGCCTGGGTTCCACTCCTAAAAGTTCTGCTTTAACTGATCTGAGGTATATCTGAGTGTTGGGATTTTTGACAATTCTGTTGATTTTAATGTGGCCAAAATGGTGAGTGAATTTTCTGTCTATCCCATCAAAGGTAATCAAATCAAAATGAGGAGCCGGCAGATGGCGCGGTGGTTGAGGGTGTTGGACTCCTATATGGCCGACTACGATTCCTTCTCTCTCTCTCTTTCTCTCGTCAAATTAGAAAATAAAGTTAAATAGAATAGATATTTCTTTAAAAAAGAAAAAACAATCAAAACAAACAGTGGCCACTTCTTTGGTCAAAATAACAACAAATCTAATCCCTGATTTAATGCTCTAGCTGTTGATTTGTAACCCCTGAGGACCTTTACGGCTTGAGACTGGAATGTTGCCAACCTCAGAGGCTAATAGCAGTACTTGGCATGCTAAATGAATGAGCAGAAGGAAAAACGAGCTACATACCTGGCGCTCTTCATGTTTGCCATGCACCTCAATCACGTCTCCCAGCACCTTGACCTTGAGTTCCTCTGGGGAGAAGTGTTTCACATCCAAGTTGACAGAGAACCTGTCTTTCTCTAGGCGCATCTAGAAACAGCAAGGGAAGGGAAGGGGATAAGAGGAGATGGCAAGAATGTCAATGGCACAGGTGCAGTCTCATTCTGCAAAATTGCTTTCTGTCTGTGTCTTTATCCTTCCTTTCTTGCTAAAAATCCCCCTTTTTGAATAAACATGGCTCCCTGGCTCAGGGAAGTCACCACTGTGGGGTCCAAGGCATACCTCTTAGTCATCAGGCCCAAACTTTATTTACAGGCACAGGGAAAAAGATCGCTCAGGGGACCAATCACAAGCATGGGTCTGAGTATGGCTTCTGCTCCCTCTCTGACCCCAAAGCCTGGCTTTGTCATTTGTCTGTGAGACAAAGGCCCATTTTATTTGCTCCCATCTCTGCCAAGTTTCCCACCCACTCAATCTGGAATGTTCCGCTAGTCCTGCTTGTCCTTCTAAAGCCCTTGCCCACTCAGCTCTTGTTTACTCACACTGGAATATTTTTAAATCACAGTGTTATCTGTGACAAGTTCTGTCAGCCTTATCTGTTCATCCCCTTCTCCCACCCTCTTAGGACAAGCGAGGGGTCCCAGGACTGAACCTACATTCCTTGCTCATAAGGCTTGGACCCATGCCAGTGCCCTGTCATGGCCCTAAAAAAACCGCAAAATCACCGAAGAAGAATTAGAAGGAAGGTGTGGGGGTGGTGAAGAGCTCAAGATGAGAGAGGACTCCTGGCTCTGAAACTTGAGATGATAGCATTTGTCAAGAGTATGAGGTATTAGAAGAGGTGAGCAAAGGCATTTGAAGGCCTCTCTGCCCCTGCAGGTCATTATGAAAACAAAACAAAACAAAACAAAACAGAAAGGGCTATCCTGCCTAGAAATTAGGGGTCAGGGGACGATGTTCACGGTGCATGGGAAAATAAATGGAATGCAGAAGGCATCCAAACGAAACAGGTGTCTAGGAGAGAGGTACTAGTAAACCTCACTTTCCTTCATTTCTAGAACACACGTGCCTAAACTGGCTTACTCAGGGAGGGAAAGGAAAACAGATGGAGAAGTTTCTAGGAGGTCCCAGGAAGGACTATCCTGCCCTGGCAGTGGGAAGACTCACCTCTGAAAGTCCAGTGTCAATCCAGCTGGTTCCCCGCAGAAATGAGGGCAGCCGAAAGTAAAAGGGGCTCAGGGAAGTAGATGTCGGGAAGAGATCAGACTCCAACAGGTGCTCCCCAAAGAACTGGTCAAAGAGACGGCTGGGAGAGTGGAAAGGAAAGAAGGGGCGGCGGATCCAGGGGTGGTGGATGGCGATGTCCATGGTGGCTAGGTGAGTGTGAGGGGTAAGCTGGCTGGTCAGCTCCTTCAGCTGCCGCTACAGCCAGTCCCTTATATATGCAGTCTTGTGAAGCTTCTGGAATGGTGATGTCAGGGGTTTTATTATCCCAGCTCACCGCCGGTTCATGGACACTTGTGATCGGGGATTTGGCAGTGTGACACATACCCAGTACTCACTGAGCTAAGAAAAGAGAAACACAAACCCGTCTGAGCTGGCCAGTGACTTGTCATGGTCTTGTTTCACCAGCTTTCTGTCCACACCCAAGGCACCCACCCCCACCCCCTGTTCTCTGGAGCTGGGACAGAGTCAGGAATCTCAAGCAGGCAGCTGGTGTGCCCCTCCTCCTCCTCTTCCATCCCGCATGCCAGGGGAATCAGGCCAGCAACTATCTTGGGCCTGGGCAGGGACTGGAATCTTCCTAGGCTGGTCCCAGATCCTTAACTCTTTGCGGGTCCCTAGGGGAGAGCAGTGATCGCCAACAGGCCAATATCAGGCATCTATGTGGTGACCTTGGGGGATCTGGGTTCAGGAGAGGACTCTGGCATTAAACTGGGTGGAAAGACCCCACCCCCCAAAAAAGGGCAGAAGAGGGTTTTTTGCATCTTTAATCCCACAGCTTGCAGAACATTAAATCCTGGAGTGCTTTATGAAGTAGTGTGCAAGGTGCCTGAGATGAGAGGAGGAAAGGTGGTGTGGAGACGTGCAAACCATTTGGGAGGGTCTCAGCTAGGCCTCTACTTCCCTCTGGCCCCAGCTCCCCTCCAAGCTCTCTCCAGGCCTGGACCCCCAGCTGTCCTCTCAGGCCCCCTGCGACAGCTGAAGGGTGTGCGGGGGAGGGGACTGGGGGTCCGGCGGCGCTGGTCACACCCTCCTAGCACGCACTCAGGTCCCCCGCCCCTCCTCCCAAGACTCCGCACTATTTTGGGTGGTGTAGACCCCGCCCCCACCTCGGACAGAGCCTGGGCTCTCTGGGCAGCTGGAGGGGTCGCGCTGCGCCTGTTGGGGCTGCTCCTCTGACCAAGGGCCGCGACTGCGTCTGCAGCCATGTCGGGCCGCTCGATTCCACATGCCCACCCAGCCACCGCCGAGTACGAGTTCGCCAACCCGAGCCGCCTGGGCGAGCAGCGCTTCGGAGAAGGTATGGCACAGACGCCTCCCCTTTGCCACCCACCCCCACCTCCTGAAATTCCGGGCTGACCTCCCAATGTTTCTGGCCTCCACCCCACTTGGGGCTTAATGATCTCCCGGGGCAGCCATCTCCTAGCCCAGACTCCCCGCCTCGCCCCTTTCCAAGCAGGGCTC